ACCTGAGATTTTATGGCACGAAAAACAGTCTTCTGTATTTTTGACACAAATACTAGGTACTCATCGCACATTTAGAAGTTAATACATGTTTACCTAGTGGCTGGCTAGGAGCCATACTATACTTGCAATTCAGTGCAAAGCAAAAGAACCTCTTGTTTCTAAATCTCCAAAACCAGGATATGAAATACAAGATAAAAGGCATCGGAAAGAATTGTGTCGCCAATTATTAATTGAAAACTCCCCAGGAAAGTGTGTTGGTCTTGTGTGCTTCAAATAATAATTTGTAAGCCTGATCTGAGGAAACCTTGCTTGGGAGCATGGCGGCTGAGGTGCATTTCCTGTAGGGCTACAGGTATCCTTAGAAGTTTGGGTCGCACGGCTTATCAGACGAGGTGCATCTCCCCGAGTCCCAGTGTTGTTAATCAAGATAGATGGCAGGCCAGTTAACGCTGCTGCTACGGAGACTGCGGCAAAGATTAGAAGGTTATCGCCCAGATATAAACAGGAGTTCTGGGATTCCTATCTAACGTATGAAATTAACAACTAATAGGTATCTCTCTTTGATAGTTGACTTGATGGAGTGTGTGTGGATAAAAGTCAGCACGCGAACAACTTGATTGTCTGCTGAATTAATAGAACGGGAGGACTTTAAGTGGTTCTGAAAGCTAATTTGATTCAGAAGCTTCGGGGAGGTCCCAGCTCTTTGGTGTGACTGGTGAATAAAATGCAGGCGATTCATTGCCGTTGAAATCGGAAGCATTAACGGCTGCTGTTCACGGAATCAAAACAATCTTATGTAAATATGGTCTTTGCAAGGAGGCACCACTAAACTTATGGGTTTGTTCATATTATCCTCTAAATAAACGCTGGAAATTAAAATAGAGAGAAACTGCCCTTTGGGTTGGCCTTAAATCCAGTCATCTCTATTTCCATCCCTATTTTACATTTGTCTTGACAAACATTCCATTTATTTGAATTTACTTCCCTAACATTTTTTTTCCTTTTCTAGGCCCACTTAAATTTCAATTGCCAGTCATACTTGAATATTTTAGGAGCCAACACATTTTCTTCCTTATGCCTGTCAGTTTTCTTCTCACATGAACTTCTCCTGGACAGACCTCAGGCATCTATCCCTCAGACCACAGGAAAGAAAAAACCATCTTCCTCAGGAGAGGTTTTTCCAGCTGTGGGTCGCCCGCCATCTCCTGTCCCAAGACTGGCACGGCAGCCTCTGCTCGTCTTCTGCAGAGTGTCCCGCCATCATCCGTACTCATCCAGGCCGGAAGCGGGGCTCCCTGGGTTTCTCCCCTTTTGGATTATAAATGATGGAAGCAATGGGCTGAGCAAGTGTCACTCACTGTGCCTGGCAAGGTGTCTAGTACAGACGTCTTGGTAACCACTGTTGACCAAATGACAGTGGAGGACAAGGAAAGGGCATTGCAGGCCAAACTCAAGATGAACCTCCACATTGTAGTCTACCAGGGTCCACCAAAAGAGGTCAAAACGGTGGGAAGTAAGAGATCTGCTCAGTTGGACTCTTTTTTCCATATTAGGGCCCAGGTGTCTCTGGGAGGTCTCCCTCAAGAGAACAACCTTCTCGTTCAGCTCATGTAGGTAGGCTTTATGGGTATAGTTCCCTATGTTACCAAAACACGTGCACAACCGACCTTACATGTACTCAATAGATTATATTGGGGATTTCTGTATGTACAAACACATATGTGCATATACTAACGATGAAAAAGAGGCTATGAATTCAAAGGAGAGCAGGGAAGGGTATATGGGAAGGTTTGGAGGGAGGAAGGGGAAGGGAGAATATAATTAAAACACAGTCTCAAAAACAAGCAAACAAAAGTCAATTAAAACATTTATTAAGAGAGAGAGAACTACCACAAATGGACCTGCGTATCTGAGAACTAGTTGCTTTTAATTCCCAAAACTTCCTGCTCCGTTTCCTTTTTTCTCTCTAGAAACCCATCATCATCTAGCTTATCCGCGCACCTTTAATTAACTAAGCCTTGTTTCTCAGTGAAGTTAAAAGAAAAAAACCTCAAATCATAATTTCTAAAGTTTCAGTATCTATTTAAATTCTAGAACAAACAATACAGGTAGGTCATATCAAATGGTAAAAACAGAATTCCTAACAGTTTGCCTGGTCTGAACCCTCTCCAGCCACTGCTGATGCCAATCTGTTAATTATATAAAGGTGAGGGACAAAGACATCCACATGTCAACTGTGATCACTTCTAATCTGCCCATCACTGCCCCGTCTTCTTCCCTGTGTGTTTAAGTATTTTCCAAGCTCTTAAGAATAATAATTTGCAGCTGAGATTGTAGCTCAGGGAGTGGTTGCCTAGCATGTATGAAGCTTGGGTTCTCATCCCCAAAACCAAACACATGAAAAACAAGATGACTGCCACGTACTACTTCTACAAACAGAGCAATGTTACTTGAATTTCTAAATAGTCCCTGACATGTAGTACATAATAAAAAGCTCCTCGTTCCCTCTTTGGATCACAGAGGTCCTAACAATTTCGTCTTACCATAAAAGAAACTTGAGTCTTGGCAACATCCTGTAATGATGAAAACTCTGTATTTTTCATTCCCTAATTTGATGATTTTGGTTGCTTCATGTAAAGGAAAAAGAAAGACAATTCCATCCACTCCAACTCAAACAAATATTTTGTATTTCTCCACAAGTACCAGAAACATTATCAGTTCCTTTTTGGTTTGTTAATGTCCTGGAGAGAATCTTGGTAGAGGCAAGGAAGGGAAGAGTGTTGGAATTTAAGAAAAGCAGCAGCAAGCGAGAGAGAAAGAACCCAAGTGACAGAGTTCAAGCAGAGGGGTTTTTACTAGAGGACAGGAATCCTAAAAAAAGGGAAATATGAGGATATGGGAACAGCAGGAGAGAAGAAAGAGGGGCAGGGGGAGAGGGGGGGGAGAAGAAGAAGAAGAAGAAGAAGAAGGAGAAGAAGGAGAAGAAGGAGAAGAAGGAGAAGAAGGAGAAGAAGGAGAAGAAGGAGAAGAAGGAGAAGAAGGAGAAGAAGGAGAAGAAGGAGAAGAAGGAGAAGAAGGAGAAGAAGAAGAAGAAGAAGAAGAAGAAGAAGAAGAAGAAGAAGGAGAAGAAGGAGAAGAAGGAGAAGAAGGAGAAGAAGGAGAAGAAGAAGAAGAAGAAGAAGAAGAAGAAGAAGAAGAAGAAGAAGAAGAAGAAGAAGAAGAAGAAGAAGAAGAAGAAGAAGAAGAAGAAGAAGAAAAAGAAGTTAGTGGCAGGGTCCTTTTAAAAGGAAATACAGTGCACAGGTGGCCCTTAGTGGCTGCAGCTGAGGGCGTGTCCTATCAGGACCCCAAAGACAGGCCGATACAGATGCCTGAATACTAACAAAGAGTCCTAGTCTTGGGCAGAAATAACTAATGCTGCCTAAGGGGGCAGGGGAGGGGAAGGTGTGAGTTGGCTTGAACAAGTAGAGAAGGAATTGCTAGTGACTGCACAGAAAACACCTTCCATGTAATTTTCACAGACTGGTTTCACACTCCTCCTTTGATTTTTTTCCCTCATCAACCCTTAAATTCTTCAACTGAAGCTCAGCTAATCACGGAAGTTCCAATAATTTTCATCTCTGTGGAAGATGACCTCAGAATCTCTAATTCCGTAGACAATCAGATAAGGGAATGTTGTTATCACACACTCCAAGGTTATACCCACCACACAATCACTACACTCTCAAAGATGACACTCAGACATCCTGATTAAGCTTGGCCATCTGTCTCTCAACTAGAATGAAGCCTTGTCAGGCAAGAAAGGGATTTAGGAACACCTACAAACTCATGGAATTATAAGCCTCTTGACTGATAAGAGGTTTTTAGAAACTTTTATCGGAATCCTAGAATCATTGAGCAAAAACAAAAACTAAGAAAAAATCCATCTTAACACACAAATCATACAAAGAAGCCATGTAAAAGTCAGGCAAAAACCCTAGGTGCATGTTTGTACAGCTCTTAGCATAAAATATGGTCTTTCATTATAAGTCAGAGTTTGTTAAATTTACACACAGTTCAAATATTCCAAGGAATTTGCTGCTCAATGACTCCTATCCTAAATCTTTCTGTGTGTGAGGAATCTTTTTGGCAAAGCCAAATGCCCATGATTTATAGCTTAAATATTTTCAAAATATTCAACTCAGTTACAGCAAAAGAAAGCCAACTTTCATTTTTTTTCTCCTAATGAAAGATATTACAGTAAAATACAATGGTATAATTATTATGAATTATTATTGACTAGTGTGTAACTTTTTCTTATTTAATGTAAAATGTTTATTATAAAGCACATGGTTATAGATTAAATCTAAACAACACTGTCATCGTTAGCCCCAATTCAGCTGACTTGCTCTACCAAGAAGAGTACATTGAAACACACGATATCAATGTTATTAAATAGCATTTAAAACAAGGGACTGTTAATGCTCCAGAAGACATGGGAGTCTCCACAAAACGCCTCAGCTGGTAAAGACGCTTGCAGCCATGCTTGATAACTACCTATATCCAATGGTCTGAGTGAGAATGGCCCCAATAGGCTCATATGTTTGAATGTTTGGTCTGACCTTAGGTTCACTTCCAAGGACATAAATGGCGGAAATAGAGAAACCATTCCTAAAAGTTGTTCTCTGCCTCCACCCCACAGTCACGGCACAAGAACCACATCCCTCACACACAAACACCCCGGGTAAACAGAGGCTAAATTTTAAAAAAACTTTTCAAAGAAAAAAAATATTTTCCATTAGTTTTTGCTGTCTCCCTCTCACAATGATGCTTTGCAGAACTGTTGTGACTTAATAGACACTATGAAACAAACAAGCATGAATCTAAACTGTTTTACGGGACAGGGTTTCTCTGTATTGTTTTGGAGGCTGTCCGTCCAGCCCGGCCTCGAACTCACAGAGATCTGCCTGCCTCTGCCTCCCGCATGCTGGGATTAAAGGCGTGCGCCACCACCACCCGGCTTGGCCTCCTTCTTCTTGTCCCCTTTCTTTCCTGTTTCTTCTCATATAAGATAAGAGATATGTTTCTAAACCTCTGAAGCAACGGGACAAAGAAAATCTCCAAATGCCCTGAGAAAAAAATAGGAAATGGTCACTTCTCGTGTTAACTAATAAGAACAACAGTCATGTACCCCATGAGGGTGGCTGTGAGAATTAAATAAGTCCCATACACAAAACCACCAGAAAGGCACAGATCTCATCGCAAACCCTCAACTCTACAATTATTAGCTAGCTCCATGGTCTTTTTTGAAAAATCATAATTTTGTTCCTGGAGTACAATTACTCTTAGACTATGATCTGATCATTGGAATAGCACATAACAACTGATAATAATTTCAGTCACCACTTCACTACCTTATTTCTTACTCAGGCACTAATGAAGAAAATCTACACTCTGATGTCTCGGTACTCAACACTCTGATCATGTCTTAATTCTCTGATGGCAAATACTATTTTATGAATATGTCACAGACTTGCAACCCAACCCAACGAATCATCTGTATTGTACCACTAACTAGTCTCCATTAAAATGTCTTGTGCTACTATCCTGGACATTTTGTGGTATGTACTCTCCAATCATGTTGGCTACACTCCAAAGTGTCATTATTGCCACCACACTCAAAGGAACCAAGAGGTACAGAGAAACTAAATTACTCTCTCAAAGCACAAAGTATTACGGCTAAAATATGAAGTGGCCTCCATGGGCTTCATGTGTTTGAACAGATGGCCCAGTTCTAGGGACCTATGAGACCTCTAGGAGTTGGCTCTTAGCTGCTGGGTTCCTGGAGGGATGGTGAGAGACCTATGATCTTAAACCACCCAAGGTTTTGGAAGATCTCACTGCTTCCAGATTCAAGAAAACTCTGACCACATACATCCATGGCCACACCTTCCCCACCATTATGGACTCTGACCTTTTAAACAATGAGTCAAAATAAATCTTCCCCCTATAAAAAGCATTTTACCACAGCAAGGAAAGGAGTAGCTAAAACAATATGGACCAAGTTCCAGAAGCCTCACTGCTAACCTACTAGCAAGGTAAAAGCCCAGGAAGAAACAAGACTGTCTCCTCTATGGGCTCTCAGAACGTTATAGAAGCAGGAACAATAAGGACAAATCAAGTATCTGCCAGGAAGTTCCTTATCCCCCGCGGTTCCCAGATGCTGACTTCCAAAGTGAAATAAGAAGTCACACTTGGGATTTTCATCCTTCCGAAGGATACAGAACCTGACGATTTCTAGTGATCATTAGTGATGCGGTGAAGGTGAGGAGAGTCACCCAACAAATGATACCACTGATAGGAAAGCAAATGTTATGAAACGCCGTGAGGGTGACACAGAAATTTAGAAAAAGTCAAATGTGCACACATCATCTCCTTTCCCAAGTGACACGTTTTATGCTTTTTTTCCCTGGAACTGTTATTTTCAGGTGTTGTACGATATTTTGATCGCATTCTAACACTGCAAAGATGGCCAATAAAGTTTACCTTGAATCGGAGGGTGGAGCCACCTATGAGCTGATGAAAATTAGCCATGGAGGTTTTTTGGAGGACCCAGAACATATAGAGAGACAGGGGAAGCAGTAGGGAGGGGTTTAGAAAGATGCTCGGGCTTTCATTGGTCGCTTCTCTTCCGCTTCTCTGATCACTCAGGCTCTTAGCCCAACGTCTGACTTCCGAGTTTTTGTGGATAAAGAATTAGACAAATGCATCTTCTGGAGCCCGACCTTGGGTGCCAAACGTAGTGAGTCTTTTCAGGTCCGGACCGCCAGCCCACAAATCACGACACAGAGACTCACTATTAATTATAAAAGCTTTGGTCTTTAGCTAGGTTTGTTTTTCACTAGCTCTTGTGACTTAAATTGACCCATTATTTTTTTTTCAACTCCGTTCTGCCACGTGGCTTGTTACCTCTGCACCCTGTACCCTGCTCTCCTCCACATCTGGCTGATGACTCCCCATGTGCCTAGATTCCTTCTCTTCCTCTCTCTCCCCAGAAGTTCTGCCTAGCTTCTACTGCCCAGCTGTTGGTCATTCCACATTTCATTGCACCAATAACAGCAACCTGTCTTCACACAAGGTACAAATATATTCTACAACATGTAGGTAATCAGGAGGCTAGCAATATAGACCATGATCAGAGAACATGTTCAGTAGACTCTAGGGCCAATCTCTAGCACCAACCAGCAAACAATAAAAAAATTGTGCAATTTCTACTCACATCTTTAAATTGGATATTTTTTAATAACAGTGTTCTTACTGAGTGCTTACCCTGCATTTCCAGTTGAGCTAAATGCTTTGCATTCAGTTTTTTTTAATTGCTGATATTCTGCAACCACTCAGTAAAGAACATATCCCTGCCCCTGTTTAACATGAGGAACAGAGGTGTATCTATACAGGCTTGGTGATGTATACATGTAAGCCCAGCACACAAGAGAAGAAGCCCAGGATCCTGAATTGGTGACAAGCCTGTCCTGGGCAGAGAGACCCTGGCTCAAAATTTAAAAAGCCATGTAAGATGCTGGGTCCTTCTACAGCTCAAGGAACTTGGCCTAACTAAAGGGCAATGAATAAATGAAGAAATGATAGACACCTTCACAATTAGAAAGCTGAGGTTCATGAACTGGGCTCTCAGATTGGAAAAAAATCACAGCACAGCACGCTAGTTACACAGAGTTGAATAGACAGGCAGGGTTACAGACGGAACAAAGAGGCAGACTTATTTCATACAGAAAAATAAGGAGGGGTTTAGAAGATTGGCCGGCTCAAGGAGACAGGTTTAGCTAATCTCGGTAGGTGCAGTCTCTGTAGGGGACTCATATCTTCAGGCTACAAATATCTGCGGGGAGAAAGCTATGGTGGCCATTTTCCGCACACCCTGTCAGTGTTTAAACTTGGACCAGGGGACGGCTTTGCTATGCCTCCCGAGCCCCAGCGTGGGCAGGGTGGGGGAGGGGTGCTGTTTTCCACAGATCTGAGCCTATGATCCCTGACATAGCCGTGGCAGGCTCCCCACAGTAAGAACCTTATGTAAGTTCACATATTGAATACATGGATTCGATTCGGGACAATTTGACCACTAGACTTTACTGAAAACAAACTATTGTCCATCCCTTTTCTTATCACTTATCAATGAAATCAACATGTAAGCCTTGAACAAGGTCTTCTCCTTCCTCCCTTCCTTCCTTCCTTCCTGCTGAAGGGTCACTGAGGACATTAAAAAAAAAAGAGTTCTGTGTACAAAGAAACAACAGCCGCCACATGTTTCTGACAGGCTGGAGGCCCAGTTGGAAGGCACTGCTTGGCATTCTAGCTTTGAAAGGGCCAAGTTTCCCAAAGTAAAACCTCCACTTTGTGTGTGTGGGGGGAAGTGATTAGTCATTTAATACTGGAAGCCCTACCTGGAACACATTTCTTAATACATTTTTTTCCCATGCATGATGTCTTTCCACAATTTATTGCCACATTTTATTAAACTCTTGTTACCTAGCGTGTAATTGGAATCATCACTGATACATGAAACATGAGTATACAAATCTGAAACAGAGTGGAGGCAGGTCAAAAAAAGTCACAGCAAAGCTAATTTCGAAAGTGGAGAGAAGACGGAGGCTGGAATGTAATGAATTGCTGTACCCTTCCAGCCCAGGGCACCTTCTCCCAGAAAATCACCTTTTTCTCCCCCAACACCCACAAAAGCCTGATTCTCTGTGAACAAGAATTGATTAACTAAAACACTAAAAAGGCAACACAAAGAAATAGGTGACGTCCCACAATAGACGCTTTCCCATGGAGGATCGTCAGAAACAGGTATTCTGCTAGAGTTGAATCATAAATGTTTAACTTTAGCTTTCATTTTCTGGGGTCCCTCTGATGAGGAGGCAGCCTGGTTTGGATTTTTCTTCACTAGTTCTGGACTAGTTTGGACATTTTGTCCTAAAATGCTAACCATTTCTTGCCCTGTGTCCTCTCTTAGATGCTAGGTGTAATGCTTGGCACAGCATAGAAACAAAGTGTTTCTATGAACTAAATGATAGTAAATCTAACTGTTAGTGAATTAAATGATAGTAAATGTTCGTGAATTAAATGGTAGTAAATCTCAAAATGAAGCTTTAACAAAAGCTACTAAGTAAAGCACTGTGGATCTTGTTAGGAACCTTTCACGGCAAACCAGATCCTGGGCTGTTTTTGTGAAGGGAAGAAATTGTCTCTTTTCTAGTTTCAGGCTTTTAGAATATTTTTTCTGAGTTCACGGTCACTTCTTTCATCTTCAGATTACAGCCTTATTTTCACCCCAGTACATTACATCTACTTCCAGGAACATTCAGAGACCACATTAGAACTCTCACAGTGAAGGTATTGTCGCATGGGCACCGAAAACACTGCACCTGTTTTACAGAAAAACAGACAAACATCAGCAATAAAAGAAATAAATCGGAGACAATGAAGGAGTGTTTTGTGTCATCAGGCACAAACATTTGTGTTTTCTAATTATCATATTTATTATTGTCATTAAGACAATAAATATGAATTGTTATTCATTGCTTAAGCATGGCTAGCTGATATAAACTATCATATAATTTATTACTAATTGTCATCTAGATATAGATGAAAATACATCATCAAGCTTGTGTCTTGTCAAGGTGTTATGGTATCTTAAAATATACATTTTAAAATGAACACATTTATAGGAGAAAATATGCAAAATGTGGAATTAGTAAACAAAAATATCTAAGGTACAATTTCCTGTTATAAGTATTCATCACGATTGCCTTATTCTATATTATAAAACTATAATAACCAGAGACAGGTTAAGAAAAAGCTGAGAAACACTCTCTTTGCACGAGATGCGGATTCTGTACACCAGGAATTGTTAGAATTACTTAGTCCATAGTGATGAACTTAAGATTTAGAGACAGTATGCTCTAGTTCAAGAAATATACACTAAGAAAACTGAAAAGTAAGTGTTGGGAAGACATAGTCAGGGAGAGAGGGAGAACGAGTCTCTGGAATCACCGACCATGAGATGGTCTCAGGGTCTCTTTAAGGAAATGAGTTTAAACGTAGGCAAAAGGAAGCCTCAAACGGATGCTCTGAGGTGGGCCAAGCTTGGAGCATTTGAGGAGCAGAAAGGCCAGTGTTCCTGACACAAACCGAATTGGAGTTGGGAGAGAGACAAAGTTGAAAAGTTGCAGGAGATGTGGGTCAAAGAGAGCTTTGGAAGGTCCGGGTTCCAATGCAGCCCAATACTCTGTGTAGATTAATGATCCCCGGCAAACACTTCTACAGACTGGAGGAGACACACGCAAGTGAGAGCTATGGGAATTATCTGCAAGAAGGCGATTCCTGTCCTGAAGCCAAATGATGAAGAGACGCAATTCAAGAGGACCGGACCTGAGTGAATTCCAAAGTCTATGTGGCACGGACGGGACATCAAATGTAGAATGTAAGGGACATGCACACAAAAGATAAGGGCCTCTAGATCATTCCGTTCATTCTTCGCTCCGCTTACAAATGCGCCATGTGCTATGAACTAACACTCCAAAAAAGAAAATGTGTTGCACTCCACACTAATTCTACCATGCACCCGGTAAGACAAACTGAGGTCCATAATCAAACAGCCCCAGGAAACGTTACATTTCATAGTCCGTCCCCCTTGGGCAGACTTTCACAGTGAGCAACGCCGCCGCTAAAGCCTAGAGAAATCCTAGTGCAAAGACGGTTGCAGATCTCAGTGTACAATTTCCCACAACTTGCCTTTACTGCCTATTCACGTCCTACCACAGCTCTGGGAAAGATGCTGGGAAGAGCCGCGGCTGGGTGTGCCGGACGCACAGAGGGACAGTGAAGGCTTTGGCCCGGGGAAGAGACATTGACGAGATTTACACCGCTGGAGATGTACACGAATGCTGTGGAAGAAGCCCGCGGAGGCACAGCTGGCAAACAGAACGCCAGCGGTTTTGCCTGCCTCGTCCAAAGCTGAAACGTAGTAACGATGGACAATGTAGAAAAATCTGCCGTGCACCAGCATCGCTGCTGCGGAACCTTAGCAAGTGGGAAGCAGGAGGGACAAAACTGGCATTTGAGGTTTAGGGAGCACAACAAAAGAGACCGCCCTGCCTGCTTTCCCTCATTTGTGCCCAGGTAATATATAGAGCCCATTTGCAGGAGAACTGCGGTCAGAACTTCAACCTTCAATTTCGTCCCTTCAAATTTCTTCCAGCATCTTGAGAATCTCAGAACCCCCCACGGTTGTTTCTCGGGCCTCAAATTGGATAAAGGGCAATTTTGTCCTTTGTGTTTCCCCTGCCATTTCCAACTACATTTATTCCTGAATTGTGCCTCCCATTTTTCTTTTAGAGAGTTACCTTATTTTTTTTTCTTCCTTAAGAGTTTGGTGTTTTCTTTAAGAGAGAACAGTCCTGTGGCTTAAATAGCCCAGGTTACAGAGATGTCAAAGCCCATTTTATTTTTCCAGTCGGCTCCGCCAAGCCTTTTCAATATTGCGCCGGCTCCAGTTGATTTACCTTTAGCCTTCATACTAAAAACTGGAATATTTCCTACATAAAATTGATTTCCTTACCACTCCCCTCCAGCCATTCATTCAGAAAAATAATCAATACATACTAATAAAGGGTTAAGGAGAGTCACTGGACCATTGCTGTCTTATTAATTCCATTTCACTATTTTCATAAATCCAAGGTCTCCTTTGTCTGTTGTTTTCTAATAGTAAATAAATCCCTTAACAAAATATACTATAAGCTATAAGGAAATGAATTGGGTAATTCCATTTAGGGCAAAGTTATCATTATAATTTTTTATACTGACCTGAATATCCTTACAAGAATTTTCGGCAGGAATTAGAGTAAAACATCACTTATTTTAAATGGGAACTTCTTTTATCCTGACCAGTCTCTGTCTGAAAGAAAAAAAATACGTAATCTACTTTCTAAGAGAGTATGATATTTGTGAAATGTATTATAGGAGTTCGTCAGCCTCAAGAGGCCTCTGATCACTGGGTAGTCAACACAAATACCCCCTTTCCTTTCCTTTACATAAAATAACCATCAGGCTTTATCTTTTAAAAACTGTGAGGCCTTGACCAGTTCCCTTCCTTGATCGCACATTGTCTCTCCTTCTAAATGAAAATAACTCTCCTGCCTGTGCTGGAGGTAGATGTTGTTTTAGATTGGACGGCCAGGGGAACACACAGTTTTGAGAAGATAACACTCGTGCGAGGACGAACTGTAAGCTGGGAAGCTGTCTTAGGGAAGGGCACAAGAGAAGGAACAAAACATACAAAGATAGCAAACCTGAGGGACAACCAGAAGGGGGGGCTCTCGTGAGACCAGAGCTCGTGCGAGTGGAAGGGGATGGAATACTCAAGGAGAGGAGAGAACAAGACACTAGAGTAAACTCTTCAACAGCAAAGGGAAACAACTCCATCAGGGAAAGGTTTCTGGCTCCGTTAACCTTTACGAAGCCATCCGTCAACGGTTAAAGATGGCCATCAGAAGGAGTTGGTAGCAAATTCTAGAGAGTCATGGGGTCATGGAAATTTCAGAAACATCTAGAAAACCATCAACACAGAGGCTGATGATTTCAAGAAAAATTGACAGAGACCCCTATAAAATCTTGATCTTGGTGTTATTCTGGATCTTCTGTGATAGGGATTCCAAGCTATGTAGGTCTGAGGGGAATCTAGCTTCTAGCTACAGATAGGGTGCGATGGTGCTAACGTGTGTGAAATACAGTCGGGCTCCTGTTGAAAGTGTTGCTCCAGGTTCAATGTTAAGAACAGTCCATAGACTTGCCAGAGTGAAGGCAGAATAATAGGTACAAGGCTGTAGTAAGCCATGTAAGGGAAAACAAGAGCAAACACCACAATGATGGCTGATATGGGGCTGGTGATAGCTTAGTGATAAGGGGTGAGCCAAGCTTTGGGATTCTTTAATATCTTAAATACAGAGAGCACAGGAAGCGGGAATTCTGGACTGACCTACGTTGAGTGACATGTAGAACTGACACGTAGGAAGAGATGGAGGGAGGGATACAGTCAAGCTGGAATAAAACCAGGGGTTCTCAGCCTGAGCTGAGCATCTTGTTCACTGAGGGGTCTTGTTAAAACATGAATTGATGTGTGTGGTCTCACTCTAGGTTTCTAGTGTAGTGATCTGGAGTAGGGTCGGGCAACTCGCATTTCTAGGAAGATCCGAGATCATCTTGATACTGCTGGTCAGGTAGTACACTTGAGATGAGTTTTAAGCAACAGAGGAGCACAAGAACTTCCTATAGGCTACCCTTTTTAAAGGCATATATGGGGGGGGGGGAACTACTGAAACTTATTTTAGTGTCCTTTTGGTGGACTGGAAATATAACCGTTGTAATGCTGCTCTTGAATATGTGAAAGTCACTAGTATGTGCCATGACACTCTGGAATTGTGAGCCAAAATCCACCCTTTCATCCTCACGTTCCTTGTGTCAGGGCATTTAGTCATGGTAGCGAGACATGGAGCCTACACCATGAACACTGAATATGTATAAAAATTTATTTTGGAAGATGCTAACACTTTCCCCGTATAGTGACTTTCAAAGAGGTGTCTGAGTTTAACACCTGGAAATACTTAGACCTCGATTTCACATGCAGGTCAGGCCAGCTTCAGTGTGGGGTGTGTGTGTGTGTGTGTGTGTGTGTGTGTGTGTGTGTGTGTGTGCTTCAGTTCCCCCAAGTTTACTTGATAATCCAACCACCTGTACTTGCAGCACAAATAAAAACCCAGAGACAGATACTGGGGTTAAAACAGAAGATCAGAGAAGCAAAGCGGCCAGTCAGTAGCTCTTACCTCTATCTCAGACTAAAAGGACTATCCTGTCTCCACCAAACCTCAGACTGCCTTGTGTTCCTGTCTCCTCCTACCTTACGGTCCTCTCTCTGCCCAGCCATATCACTCCCGTCTCTGCCTGTCATCCCAAGTGCTAGGATCAAAGGTGTGAGCTCTGTTTCTCTTTTAGACTAACTCACTGTCATGTAGCCCAGGGTGGCCTTGAACTCACAGAGATCCATCTGCCTCTATCTCCAGAGTGCTGGGATTAAACGTGTGTGCCACCACTACCAAGCTGCTTGACTGTCTAGTGTGGCTAGCTTTGTATTCTGATCTCCAGGCGAGCTTTATTAGTTATATCATAAAGGACGTGTCACTGCATGTACTGCTTAGTAAGGATGCAGAATGTAAATTTAAAGACATAGTGTCCAAGGGAAGGCCCCTGGAATCTATAACATTTAATAAATAATACAGATGATTCTTGGCTGCACAAGTCTGAGAACACTACAATACTTCCTGCCCAAAATACCCAAGATACATGAGGGCAAACATGCAGGATACAAGATATAGAGACACACAAATTTTATTCTATTCTTGAGACATTAATTTTTTAGAGAGTAATTAATATGATGTGTTTATTAGTTATGACTCTAAAACTTCTATTGCCTTTCAACAGCTCTTCAGTGATGGTAGGCATTTTTGTTATCAGAATAACTCTCAATTTTATTTAAGCTATTTTTATATTTTTATTGCATCGCTCAAGAAGTATAAATGTTATGGCACCAGACAAGTGCCTATCACAAATCCATCAGATGGGCTTAAAATTCAAAGAACGTTTTGCTGTTAAGAAAAAAATGTCAATAGAAGAAACTATATCTTTTTATGCAACTCATGTAATTTCTATATAAATGTTGAACAAACATTACACTGCAGAAAATATAACGCAAAAGGGAACATGGTTCTCCACGTTGGAAGACTAAGCTGATGATCTATAGAGGAAAACAAAATTCCCATTTCCAAATTTACTTCCTTCTTCTCTGCAAAAGAGAGGATGGGGAGTGAAGCAAAATCATAGAGATGTTCCAAAACTGGAAAGTTAAAGTCCATTGTTCTAAATAAACAGTATTCTAGAGACAGGAGGGGATGAATGAGGAGGATGTACTAGCAGGGATAAACATTTCTAGGAAAGGTCTCTAACATTTAAGACAGGAACACACCACTTTTATTTTATTGCATGGGTCTATGTGTACGGTGTGTATATGTAAAGTGTATATGTGTGTCTATATGTAACATGTGTGTTTATTATATATGAATGTGTATGCCCATGCATATAAAGACCAGAGACCAAAGCTGGGTTTCGTTAACTATCACTTTATATCTTACTTTGTGAGGCAATCACTCACTGAACCCTTTGCTCCCTAATTAAGTAATTCCAGGGACCCTCAGGTTTGCACCCCTCCTCAGCAATGGAGTTACAGACATTTGCCACTGGAGCACGGTTTTACATGAGCACTGGGGATCCAAATTAGGGTGCTTATACTTGTAGGACAAGGATACCTGTTGGACAAGTATCCTACTGACTGTGTCATTTTTCCAGCCCAACCATTTTAATTTCTGAATACAGAGTAGAAAATGAGAGTATGAACCATAGATCCATCTACTAGGAAATCAGATGGTAATCACAGTTCAAGATGTACCTATAAATGGTAAAATACTAAACAACAGATTATCAAATGAATCACTAGGGCACAGGGTTGGTTTTCGGTCATGCTAAAGTAACATTTTTTAATGTCACAGACAGAATTAGTCATCTATGAAGTCATAAAAATATGATAAATAAAGCTTATCTGGCCATGATCAAAATTGTTGATATATTCCCTCATTAGCCTTTGTGAGGGAAAAGAAAGAAGTGTCATCCAATGATTGATAATTACAGTGATGGGACTAAACAAAACAGTGCTAATGGTTCTAACAGCATAGCATGTGACATGGATGAACCTACAGATCACACACTGACCATGTAAGAAGAGAACGTAAGACTCAAAACACTAAGAAGTATACTGGTGCTGAAAACCACATAAGAAACAAAGAACTAGTCAAATTCACTTTAAGGGCTGAGAGTGGAAAATGTGAAATATAAACGTTATGGCCACTGAGTTCTTCACCTGGGCAAGGAAGTACCTCTTCAAGAGCTAGAGCCTGGGAACAAACACGGAGAGTGGCTTTGTGATAACAGCTGGGCCTTATACTACATGGAACAGAAAAGAAGTCTGGTCCAGGCTTCTACTGTGGGTCAGTAGAACTTATAGCTAGAAAGAAAGTTCCCAGGGCTCAGTGAAGGCAAGTTGAAGCCTGCGCCTGTGGGCTGCCCTCAACCTTGATGGCGTGCATAGGTGATCGGCAAAGGAACTTGGTCTTTGATTGGCAGTATCTCCTCCTGGCACAGAACCAGAAGATGCCGAATACGGAGGCTTCGTTATGGACATGAACTGAGTCTGCATTGTAGCCAGCACGATGCTGAGTTGCAGCGCTGACCAGCACCCTCGGTGAACTTCAGGACAGGACTGTGAATGCTTCATCTACCCTCCTCATCTTACAACATGTTGCTAAATAGGAAACACATAGTTGGGAGAATTCGGTGCTCCTCCAACTCAACTTCACAGCACATGTCTCACCACACAATCGCAGCTCCATCTTAAAAAAAAAAAAACCCTACACTCATACACATTTCTTTAACCTTGTATAGCTTCTATAGAAAGCAAAAACCCGGGGCACATGGGGAAGGGGACAGTTAAGGGCATGTGCTATTGTGATTCTTGCAGAGAACCCTCGTTTCCATTCCCAGCATCTACACTGGGTGGCTTATGTCTGCTTTGTCATGCACACAGAGATACACACTCATATACACCGAATTAAAGTAAAGTAGATCTTTTTTAAAAAGCAAACACATGCTTCTAGTTAGCATAATAGACCTATATCTCCTTCATAAAAATGAAATTATGCAAACTCTCTCACCAAAAAAAATCAACAGCAAGACGTTTCTTTTTACCCATCTTTGGGCAGCTATTGCATAGTCCTTTGGTCTTCTGGCTGAATG